TGACTTCCTACTAAGCGCATCAGCCACTACGTTCGCACGACCAGGATGATAATCAATCGTGCAATCGTAATCGCTGAGCAACTCCAACCACCTCCGCTGACGAAGATTAAGTCCTTCTGAGTAAAGAGATACTGGAGACTCTTGTGATCTGTAAAGATCCTGCACTTTTCTCCGTAAAGATAGTGCCTCCACAACTTCAACGCAAAATGATAGCAGCCAACTCCAAATCATGTGTAGGGTAATTCATCTCATGAGGTTTCACTGCCGCGAAGCATAAGCAATTACCCTACCCTGCTGCATCAATACACACCCCAAACCATTCAAGGAAGCATCGCTATAAACCTCGAAATCACCGCTATCGTCTGGGAGTGCCAAAACAGGTGCATGAGTGAGACAATGCTTCAACTGTTGGAAACTCCGTTCACACCTATCATCCCACTCAAATTTAACATCCTTCCTTGTTAACCTCGTCAGTGGTAAGGCAATCACCGAAAAATCCTTAACGAATCTCCGATAATACCCTGCCAATCCAAGGAAACTTCTCACCTCGGTGACGGTTCGCGGTTGCTCCCAACTCTCTACCGCTGCAAACCTTCTGAGGGTCAACCAAAATACCCTGAGCAGAAATGATGTGCCCCAAGAACGCAACTTGGTCTAACCAGAACTGGCACTTGCTAAACTTAGCATATAGTTGGTGTTCCCTCAACCTCTTTAACACCAAAGTAAGATGTCGAACATGCTCCGCTTTCGACTTAGAATACACCAGAATATCGTCAATAAAGACAATGACAAATCTATCCAAGTAAGGCTGGAATACTCGGTTCATCAAATCCATGAAGGCGACTGGTGCATTCGTCAACCCAAATGGCATAACCAGAAACTCGTAATGACCGTAACGAGTCCTGAACGCCGTCTTAGGGACATCATCCCTACTGATCTTCAGCTGATAGTAACCAGACCTCAAGTCTATCTTAGAGAACACGCAAGCACCTCTCAGCTGATCAAACAAATCATCGATACGAGGCAAGGGATAACGGTTTTTAATCGTCACCCGATTGAGTTGCCTGTAATCGATGCACAGCCTCAAAGTTCCATCCTTCTTCCTCACAAATAACACTGGAGCGCCCCAAGGCGAAGTACTAGGCTGGACAAATCCCTTATCCACTAACTCCTGCAGCTGAACTTTCAATTCCCTCAACTCCGCAGGGGCCATACGATAAGGAGTTAGAGAAATAGGATTTGTACCTGGAATCAACTCAATGGTGAACTCTACGTCTCGCTCTGGGGGTAACCCAGGTAAATCCTCAGGAAAAACATCAGGGAAGTGTCTGACCACTCTCACATCCTCCATTCTGCTAGTAACAGTCTCTTCTAGCACCACATGAGCCAGATACCCCTGACAACCCTTAGTTAACAACTTCTTCGCTCGTAGCGCCGAAATAACGCCATGTCTCACCCCACACTGCTCACCCACGAAAGTAACCACAGGTAGTCCAGGTCGGTGAAACGTAACTACTTTCCCGTAACAGTCAATGTTGGCACGGTAGAAGTGCAACCAATCCGTGCCCAGAATCACATCAAAGTCCACAATATCTAACGGGATAAGATCGGCTGACAAAGCAACACCCTCTACTATCACTGGACACCCTGGGTACACACAATCTACAACGCAACTCTCTCCCCTAGGCATAACAAACTCTAAATCATACCCTAGGGGTGTGGGGCGAGGTTGCGTCGCTTGAGTAAATGTATGAGAAATTACGGAATGTGTAGCTCCACAATCAATTAAGACTCTAGCAAAACCACCAAGAATGTTCAACGTACCCATAATCAAGTCTGGGTTGTTCTGAGCGTCCTGCAGAGAAATATTGTGAAGACGCCCCTGTCCCTGCTGACGCCCACCGCGGCCTCTGCCCGCCTGAACGCCGCGTCCCTGAGCACCACGCCCCTGACTGGGCTGGCCCGACTGTCTCGAAGACCCTGCACTGCTAGTGGCAATCTCCCCCTGCTGATACTGTCCTCCCTGATACCACTGTGAACCACCCGCTGGGGCTGGAGGATACGGCATATAGCCGCCCGAATACTGGGGATAGCCACCCTGGGAATAGGGATCCTGGGGATACTGATACTGCCCCGGAGCATAAGGGACAGCATCGCCCTGATAGTGGTAAGCACCACCTCGACCCGTCTGGCCGTAGCTACTAGGACCCTGGATCTGCTGGAGTGGTGCAGGTGGTGGCATAAAGGTCTGCTGTGGTTTCTGCTGTTGCTGGCCCTGGGGACAATGTGCCGCTCTATGTCCCACCTGTCCACATGTGAAGCAACCGTTGCTACCACGTCTACACTCACCGAAATGCCGGTTGTTACACCTACGACAAACTGGGGCTCTGCCTCGCCCACCATCGCCCTGCCTCTGGCCTCTAGCGCCACCAGAAAATCTACCTCCACGACCCTGCCCAGTGGCACTGAAGCCACCACTCGAAGAACTAGAACTAGCTCCACCTCTCTTGAAGTTCTGAGTCTGACGGGGGCCGAGCGATACCTGACCTTTACCTTTGTCATCTTTCTTCTGGTTGCTGTCCTTCTCTTCATCAGTATCGCTTGACATATTCTCCGAATCCTCGATCCTCAGCAGTATCTCATAGAAGTCCCGGTAAGTCTCACTGTGGACTGTAGACGCCATAGAACGCCACCTCTTCCTAGTGCCCAAACGGAAAAGACGGAGCATCTCCGCCGGATTACCAGCGACATCAGGGTGATAACGGGACAAGTCCGTAAACTTACGGTAGTACTCATTTGCTGACATCTTCCGCTGTTTCAGTTCGGAAAACTCCTGTTTCTTACGGTCAATATACTCAGGGGGCACATACCTTCTCCTAAACAACCTCGTAAAAACATTCCAATCGATCCTCTGATCCGGGGTCAACCTACGAAGCTCCTGCTCCCACCAAGCTGCCGACTCCGTATCAAGAAACCAAGCGGTCGTCTCAACCCATCTCTCCATAGGCAAGTTCCCCTGATTATGTAGCACCCGAAAAGTCTTCTCTATGTGTTCTAGCCAGCGCTCTGCGTTCTCGGGTCCCTCACTGCCCTTAAACTTATCCAACTTCAGATTGTACATAGTTTCCAGAGGAGTCCTCTGGGGAGGGCGCATCACTGCCTGAAGGGCTGTAGCAAAAGCTTCCCCCAACTGAGTAATATCGGGGAACGTAGGCTCAGAAGAGCGACGGGGTTCCCGACGAGGCGGCATAGTTCTGACAGAAGACACCAAAATTATTAGAATACTCACAAGGACACAGGACTGCCAAACCTAGGCTCTGATACCAAACTGACACACCCCGACCGAGATAGGAGCGTGCTGGCCGTCACACAAAGGCGACGTAGCCATGTGCACGTGCGGAAGCTAATAGAGTAGTAATATAAAAGTACGAATAATTAAAAACTAGCATTCTAGTACTAAAATAAGTGCTAGTTAGTGCGATACAAATTCAGAGCAGGTCTATAGCAGTCCAAATAAAACAACAACAGTAGTACGCCCGAAGGCGACCCTACAATGTGGAGTGTCTGTCAGAACGCCGAAAAGCTCGCAAGGGAAACCACCGCAACGGCTAAGCAACTAGAACCTGGAGGGGCGCAAAACAAAAGCGTGAGTGGGCAAAAACAAAGCTCTTTGAAAACCATTTAGCAAAACACAATCTAACCCCTCGCCGTAAAACCTGTATACTTCCCAGAAAAATAACATATGTACGTATGTATAGATATGCCCAAACATGCTCAAGGGTATGCCAATCATGCTCAATATATGCTATGTCAAAATCTCCTAATGATATGCAAGTGCTCAGGTGTGAGTCGTATCAATCACCCAATCCTCTGGCAGCCGGAGTCACCTAACGTGACCTGTACGGCTGTATATAGAGCTCAAATATCAATCTCACAAATAAACCTACCCACGAGTCGGAACCACCTAAAGGGGTCTGTACGACAGGCCTGGGTGTAACATGTATATACGCTCTAGTGCTACGATCACGTGAAGGCTGTGCGAATAATCGCGGGTCACCTACGAGTCGGAACCACCTACTGTGGTCTGTACGACAGGCCTATGCACCTAACTTGGATCCAAGCTGAGCGTATGGTGCGGGAGGTGAACAACACGTGAAGGACTGTGCCCTACTCTGGGCGGGAGCACTAACACCGGGGGTGCAGGTTATGAGCTCTCTAAGCATCTCTAAACACTATGTAATGCAATCGTTAATTAATGCTTACCTGGCACTTACCTATGCCTCCACAGCACCCACACATAAATATATATGACATATGCATATGTATATGTATGCCACAAATAATGCATGCAACGATGCATAAACGATAAATAATAAAGTACATGGCATAAGGCAAATAACCCTTTTTAAATCAATTTCTGGGAATATAAATGTATATAGGTATATACGGAAAACAAAAGCCCACTCACTGGTATGTAGAAGGGTCGTAGCCCCCCTGTCTCGCATGTGCACGCTCGTCCTCTGGGTACGTGTCACCTAGATGCGAAACAACTATAAAAACGTTAACTTTAAAGCACATAACCCGTTTCTCGTAATAACTTCTCATACATTGCTCAAAATGGACAAATGAATATACCAACGTGCTCTACACAACCTCAGGATCACAACCATATTTTTAAAATAATTTTTGGACCCCGCACGCGCCCCCACGCGCCAGAACAGGCACGGACCCACGCGCCCCCACGCGCGGTCACGTGCCAAGCACACTGACGGTGTCAACAAACGCCGTCAGGAATATTCCGTTAACCTGACGGAATATTCCGTTAAACTTAACCCCTGCCGTTAGGAATATTCCGTTAAACTTAACGGAATATTCTCCTTTCTTCTCCGGCCGACCTTCGCCGGACTCCGGTCACCGGAAAACTGGCCGGAAAACTGGAAAACTTCAAACTCACTAATCTCCTTCGTTTCTCAACCATTTTCTATGATTCTTGGACCAAAAGAAAGCCCTAAACTAGTAGAATCACGTTGGACCACTTTTAAAGGCTAAAAGTTACGCAATCATACCTGTCCCCAAACTCAAAAACCGGCCAACTTCGAACCAGGCCTTCCCGACGTCCAACTTCGTCCAACGAGCTACTCCGACGCTCCTTAGGACTTCACCAACCCACCTACAAGCTTCAAATGTCCAAAAACTAAGTAAATTAATGTTGCATGAACAGTGTTCAAAACGAACATCGCGATATCGACGTGAAAACGTCGAAGTTCTTACCTGCAAGTGGTATATTCGTGCTCCCCTCGACCTCACGATCACAACTGCACTCTTGGTTTCCTCGATCTGCTACGGTTTAAAGGTCCTTGGTTTATGTCCGTACGTTTACAGGGGTAGTGGGAGCTCGGGGGAGAGAAAGAGAGACACGGGAGGGAGAGAGACAGAGGGAAAGGGAAGGGCAGAGAGTGTGCAGGTGTGTGTGTGGCCCAACACATGCCACAACACACAAAACAACCCCACTAAGTGACGAAAACACACTAGGGGCAAAATTGTAATTCCACACGTACGTGTTAATAATCCCGGGACGGGATGTCACACTATGAATCAGACATAAAATAAAAAAAAAGTATCACTAGAATGTATCGTTTATTTTAATCAGGACTGTGTTTCCTGGCCAAAAGAGAATGGCATTGTTCCTTAGGCCTGATTTCCAAACTCCAACAAGACTTCAGCAGGGATTGTGCTTTGGGCCTCTTATTATCCTGGTGCGTACTCAATTTAAGCTGAAATTTGACATCAAGGAACACCCAACAATCCGTTCATTAGAGACTCAAAACTCTTTTTGTTTAAATTTTCCACATTTTCCTGGATTACACTAATTTAGGATGATATTCTTGCATCTTCCATGGGGAATGGATATATATCAACCCTTTACGAATAATGTATTTTTACAGTATAAAATGAAACTTTAATTAAGATCATCTCTGCAAAATAATAATTCGAGTTAGAAATTATTTAGTATACTAATGTATCAAATAAATCGATGGTCCTTTATAAATATATTACTTATACTCGCACAATCGATTTGTTCCAGGCACTTAAATGCATAAATGATCTTCAAGTTGATGATTTTTTTTATTTTTTTACATGGATCTTTAAATGCGGAATAAGAAGTTGAACGATAACGATTATAAAATTTATACCATAAATATACATTATTCGCAAGAGGTAGATATGTACATTGTCTCACAGGCAGATGCAAGCACTAAAACAATCAAGTAAATGAAGAATAGAATACTTTCAAACATTTGCATAATGGTAAATATAAAAACCGGAGTACACGACCCCAGCTGAGATGAGAGACAATAATGGTTGTGGTATTCTATTAAGTTGAAATTTTATGGGCTACCAAGTACTAAAGCTCTGCTACTCTGTTGGCATCATAGGTTTTTAGTTAAAACGGATTTTAAGATTGTTATAACTCTTTATTTTGATTTTTGAGATTTGAAATTGATAGAAATAATTCATGAATTTGTCCACAATCAATTATTTTGGTCATTCGATGAAAAATCTCCATTAAATAAAATTAAATGACAAAAATACTCTTAATTATTGTCAAATCATTTAGGCTTATTGTTTATTAAATTGAAGGTATTTTTGTTATTTTGGTCCTTATGACCTAAATGATTGATGGTGGACTAACTCAATGATCTCTTCTATTGATTTCAAATCTCAGATAGATTATTTTGGCTAAAAAACATTTTTTTTATTTTTTATTTATGAGTGAGATGTTTCATGTTAGAATTTTGTACATAGCGAGTTCGAAACCAATTTATTTTATCCATCATTTAGTGTAAATATAGGATTAGGTTAGGGCTACAACGCTTACATGTTTTTAAAACAATTAGTTTAAAAAGAAAAAGGAAATTTGAATCTCGTGGACAACAGTTTGATACTATTATTATTGTGGTATACTCATTATATGATTTAGTCTAAATATTCCACCTCTTTAGTGTAAATTAATCGTTGAATTAAAAATTAATCATTGCAGGAGATTTGAAGCCGCTATTACTATTAGTAATCAACAGGCAAAAGAGTAGGCATATTTGTTATTTCACTAAACTAGAAAATTAGGTTATGATGCGTATGATTAATTCCAGCGGCACAACAAGGATGATTCTATTCAAGGACACTCTAAATTGGTTGTCCATGGCATCACCGAATATGTAACAAAGTCTTGAAGACTTGGAACAGTTATAGAGTCTGAAGAGCAATGGGACAGGTACACCAATATTATGTCGTTCTTATGTGAAAAATTTTATACATATCGTTACACTATTAGGAAGCGTTTGTTTGCTCTTATTAATTGTCACTGGACTAGATTTGTCTAACTATTAGTCTAGTCCGGTGTTTGTTATCATGCAGAACTAATCTTAATGAGATTATCTCGGACTCACGTACACTAAAGGTTTCACTATGAGGTCTTAGTGAGGCCCCCAAAAAACTATGAGATTGCTAGTCCCGTCTCCCTCTTCTGCCTTCTTCTGCAAGCAGCATCGCGCGAACTTGCATGAGTAGCATCAGCCCTCCCTTCTCCAGTGACCAAACCAAAAACGGCTTTTGCCGATCTCCATCGTCCAGTAAACCTAGTGCCCTTTTGGCATCTGGGTCAGTGATTTGGGGTTTTTTGCCATCTGGATCGACCTGAACAATGGCAAAAACAGGTCTCATGGTGACCCAAATTCTTCTGCCGACAGCAAGATTGAAAACTTTAGCATGGGTGCAGTGACTCTGAGTGATTTTTCTTGACCAACTGTGATTTTCCCAGAAAATACAGGTACCAAATCTAAAGAAAAAAAAAAGTAAAAATAAATACAAAAAGAGCGATGGGAGAGGGACAATATATGGAGGTGAAACGAGAGAAAAAAAGGGAGGGGAGGGAGACACTGGTACAAAAATAAAAAATTAAAAAAATTAAAAAAAGGTGGGGGCAAAAATGGGGAGAAAAGGGAAATAGGAGGGACAGACGGAGGGACAAAAATGAGGAAAAAAGAAGAGGGGGATGGAGAGGCAGAGTAAAAAATGAAGGTAACAGAGATTGGAGAAGTCTGAAGATGATGATTCTAGATATAAAAAAAAATAACAAAAAGGAAAATTTGATATATATTAAATTAATATAAAATAATATAATATTGTAATCCTGCTTCTTAGTCCGACACTGCACTAAACACTTCATTAAATCAGTCTAACTTAGTCTATTCTAAGTCAGTCCAGCTTAGTCCCTGAAGTTAGTTCAGTCCGAAATAGTCCGGTACAATAAATACACCCTTAATCTATTAATATGATACGTCATGATAACAGTGTATCTGTATTTTAAAAGTCCTTATCCTAACTTTGAGCAGTTTTATTAATCTTTCTTCTTACAATATTTATTCATCTCTATTGATCGTTCATAATTTTCGAAAGTACGTGCATCACACACCTAATAAACCCTAGCCAAATTTTTATTATGGTGTGTGTTGGTACTTTTATCATGGTATTGTTTATGCTTTTCTACCATATTTTTTTCGATTTTTAGTCTCTGTCCCATGAACATATTGGATTGGCTTCCC